GGTGGGGGGGGTGGGGGACGGTCTTACAAATCATCAACAACCAGCCCTGCCCCGCCCCCGGTACCCCGCCCTCCTGTCTCTGCCCCGCCCCTTTCCCTGGCAGCCCCCTCTGCCACCCTGGACAGGGCTGCTCCCAGTTTCGGCAAGTGACTCCCTGAATTCCGCACCCGTTCCGGCCTTTCTTTGGGGCCCAAACCACATTTCCTACTCCCTGTCTCCAAGAGCATGTCCGGTACGGCTGCCCTCACTCCTCTCGTGCCCCAAAGTGGCCCAGCGCGCAGCCCCGCTGGCCCAGCCCAGCAGCTCCCCTGGCCTGGCGGGCCTGGCGGGCACTTCCTGCTCTCCCTCAGCCTCGTTTCCTAACTCCTGTCCTTCTCAGGCACTTTCCAGCCTCCATCTCCCACTGTGTCCTCACAGCTCCCTGGTCCCGGCCCTAACAGGAAACACAGAGCACGGATACGGGCACTTGGACTTGAGTGTGATAGCAGTACCCCCGACCAAGGGCATTTGGGGCCACATGAAACGAGGGCGAGCGTTAGATAAGAGGGGGCCGCCCTCCAGGAAAGTGGAAGGAGCGATCCAGGGAGAAAGCACCCATGTCCGAGGTGGCCAGGAGGGTCCGCAGCCAGAGGGCAGTTTGAGGGCTGCTGGTCCCCGCCTTGCAGCGTCTGCCCAAGCCCCCCACCTGGGAGCAAGAGGCAGCCGGACCCCTGTGTCCTTGGTGCCCCTCCATCCACCTCCAGACGCCCAGTGCCCTGAGCATCCCGGGCACCCTCACCGGCCAGATGCCCTTCCCCCAAAGCCTGTGACTGTCCACACAGGCAGGTCACACCCAAAGGAAGGGAACCAAATTGGGCAAGGCCCCTCAGGGCGAGGGCATGCCCAGGCTGGGGTGCTGCCAGCTCCTGGTGTCCCACTGCCCACCGTCAGGCTGCTTGAGGAACCTGCTTTGCAGCACTAAGGCTTCAGGTCCTGTGTGGGAACTACCCGCCCAGGGACCCTGGCTCCTCTGGGGAGGCTGGCCACCCCCAGCCCAGTGTCCACTCAGCACCCATCAGACGCCCCTCTTCCTGCAGGGACTCCCTGTTCTTGTCGCCTGATTGTAAGAGCTGCTGCCGTTTAAAGTAAGACATGCCGTCAGAACTCTTAAGTTCTGGGGGTGCCGGTCCCCCCCAAGACTAATGGAAAGTCCAGGCAACGTCATCTATCACGGTGAAGACCTGAGGGTAATGAAAGGGCCATGGTAACAACATCCAAACCTGGTGGTCACTGAGGGTCAGGGTGGGCCGGCCTCCAGGCACTGCAGCCTCGCCATGGGGAAGTTGGATGGATGGTCCGAATTGCAGCAGCGCTGCTCACACCGTTTCCAGTAAAGTACTAAACCCAGTTTGTTTGTTTGGTTTTGGTTTTTTTTTTTTTTTGCAGTGCGCGGGCCTCTCACTGTTGTGGCCTCTCCCGTTGCGGAGCACAGTCTCTGGACGCACAGGCTCAGCGGCCATGGCTCACGGGCCCAGCCGCTCCGCGGCATGTGGGATCCTCCCGGACCGGGGCACGAACCCGCGTCCCCTGCATCGGCAGGCGGACTCTCAACCACTGCACCACCAGGGAAGCCCAATAATTAGTTTTAAATGGCGCACCGTCGGCCCGCTGTGCGCCGCCTGGGCTCCTGGTCTGGGGCCACCACGGGCACAGCGGGATTAATGTGCTCAGAGGGTCCTCACAAGGCCATCCACTCCTACACGGCTCCTACCCTTCCCGGAAAGCAAGCAGGGCCATGTGCAGAGTCACGGGTACACAGTTAAGGACCGGGGGGTGGCGGGGCATAGAAATGATCCACGTGGGGAGGTCTCGAGGTTTCCAGTGACCCCGCCAGATGCCCACGTCTCCCATGCCGGCCGGCAGCGAGTGCAGGAGGCCTGGATCTCAGTGTGGTTTCATCATCACGTCCCTTCCATCCCTCCTGCCCTTTTCTTATCCCTTTGGGTGAGGTCCAGGCAGGGACCACAGCTGGCACCAGACTGTCCCAGGAACACCAGGCCACATGATCACCCTATGTGGGCCTCTTTTCAGGGGAAAGCCACCATCCCCATGGCTGCAGGGGTGGGAACTCGGGTCCTGGAGGCTCGCCCCTTAGGTGAGTGACCCTGGCCGGGCTGTGTCACCTAGTGCACAGAAGGACTCAGGGAGAAAACCTCGGGCTCAGCTGGTGCTGGGGTTGCTCGGCCAGTGCTGAGATGACCCCCACCCCCGGGGGCCCCCAGGAAGTCACGGCCCTGTCCTTTGAAGAAGAAAGCAGGCTTAGGGAGACGGCAGGTCCAAGCCTCCCCGCTCGGGGCGGGTGGTTACTGTGATTACCCCGTGGGGAGGGCATGGTTCAAGGCGGGTCTGAGGCCGCTTGTCCTCACACGCCTGCTGTGTGTCTGGCCTCCCCGCTCCTTGAATACCGATTTCAAGTGTCAGGCGCTTTGCAGGCTCTGGGGTGGGGGGAAGCTTATG